TTATTTTATTATTAATATAGGGCACACACGTGTGTTTGAAACTAAATATAAGCATTTTCATCATGGTTTTATTTATTACAATTCATAGGCCTATTCTTTCACCATCATCACACATTGAGGCCCTTCTTCTAGGTAAAACGATCTATCTTAAATTTTCTTTCTCAAGTTTGGGTCTATTATGTTTTTAAATAACTTAGAAGGCAAAAGAGGACAAGCACAAGCTTCAATGCAAAGAAATGCGCGCGTAGCGCGCGAAAAATTTTTGTGTTTTTAATTCTAATTTCGTCGGAATTGCTCTTATGTTATATATGGCCACACTCGTTTTTTTAAAACAGAATATAAGCATTTTCCTTATGGCTTTATTTATTACAAACATATTCTTTCAACATCATTACACATTGAGGCCCTACTTTTAGGTAAAACGATCTATCTTAAATTTTCTTTCTTGAGTTTGGGACTATATGTGTTATAACTTAGAAGGCAAAGGGGAGCAAGCACAAGCTTTAACATTGAAAAAGTTTTGTTTTTTAATACTAATTTCGTCGGAATTGATCAAAAATCCCTAAAATGTGCAATTTTTAGAGGAAATTGGCCTACCTCAACAAAATATGCTATTTAAAATTTGAAATTTTTTAGAGGAAATTGGCCTACCTCAACAAAATATGCGATTTAAAATTTGAGATTTTCAGGCACTTTACAGAGTGAAAAGGACATTCAATGGGGAAAGACTTTTTTTCTTCAAAAATTCAAGGTTTTCCAGTCTTAAAAACGGTCAGATAATTTTTTTCCCATTATTATTACAGTAAATAGGCCTTATGTGTGTATACATACATAAAAACAAAAGATTGAGTAAGTTGCATACGTAGTTTTTCCATGAATCGATGAATCCCAAAAAAAAAGGTGGGGGTGGGGGGAAGGTCCTGTGGTTCTTCCCCGGGAAAATTTTGATTCATAGGTGGCGGGAAATGAGCTTTCCAGACCTCTGTGATATCTTTTAATGACTTTTAAATTCTTCAAAATCCAAGGTCCCCCCACCTTGAAAATGATTCAATTAATCAATGAACTCCAAAGATAAAAGGTGTCCGGGTTCCCCCGGAAAAATTTCGATTTCTAGATGGCGGGAGATGAGCTTACCTGACTTCTGAAATGTCTTTTAATGACTTTTAAAGTTCTTCAAAATTCAAGGTTTTCCCCTCTTTAAAAAGGTCA